CAGAGCTCCGCTAAGAAATAGCGGAGCTCTGCAGATACACTTTTTGCCGGCTTGGAATTCTCCTTCTTTTCTCATCCTTCTTCTTCTTCTCATCCTTCTTCTTCTCTCATCCTTCTCCTTCATCTCATCCTTCTTCTTCTTCTCATCCTTCTCTTTCTCATCCTTCTCCTTCTTCTCATCTTCTTCTTCTCATCCTACTTCTTCTTCTCCATCCTTTCCTTCTTCTCATCCTTCTTCTTCTTCTCATCCTTCCTTCTTCTCATCCTTCTCCTTCTTCTCATCCTTCTCTTCTCATCCTTCTCCTTCTTCTCATCCTTCTTCTCATCCTTCTCCTTCTTCTCATCCTCTCCTGCCTTCTCATCCTTCTCCTTCTCCTTCTTCCTCATCCTTCTCCATCTTCTCAATCCTTCTCCTTCTCCTTCTTCTCATCCTTCTCCTCTCTCACTTCTCATCCGTCTCCTTCTTCTCATCTCTTCTCCTTCAATAATTCGCTTTTCATCTCTAATAATAATGTAATGTAATGTAAATAATAATTAAAAAATAATAACAATACAATAATGTAAATACAGTAATAATAAGTATTATAAATAAATAATGATAAAATGTAAATATTAATAATGTAATGTGATGTCCATAACAAAAATAAAATTAAAATAAAATAATAGTAATCATATAATAATGTAATAATGGTATTAATATAAATACATGATAGTAAATAATAATAATAATAATACAAATGAAGTAAATAATAATAATACTCTAATGTTATATACAGTAATTAGTAAGTATTAATAAATAAATAATGATAAAATAATGTAAATAATAATAATGTAATCTGATGTACATAACAATAATAATAATAATAATACTAATAATAAAATAAATAATAGTAATAATGCAATAATGTAAATAATTTTATTAATATAAATAAATGATAATGCAATAATGTAAATAATAAAAAGGTACTATAATGTAAAGCATAAAAATAATAGTAAAATATATAATAAGTAATGCAATAATGTAAATAATAATAATAATACAAATGAAGTAAATAATACAATAGTGTATATACAGTAATAGTATTATAAATTATGATAAAATAATGTAAATAATAATAAGGTACTGTAATGTAAAGCATAAAAATAATAGTAAAATAAATAATAAGTAATACAATAATGTAAATAATGATAATAATACAAATGAAGTAAATAATAATACAATAATGTATATACAGTAATAGTATTATAAATAAATAATGATAAAATAATGTAAATAATAATAATGTAATCTGATGTACATAACAATAATAATAATAAAATAAATAATAGTAATGATACAATAATGTAAATAATTTTATTCATATAAATAAATGATAATGCAATAATGTAAATAATAATAAGGTACTGTAATGTAAAGTATAAAAATAATAGTAAAATACATAATAATAATAATAATAATAATACAATAATGTAAATAATGATAATAATAATAATACAAATGAAGTAAATAATAATACAATAATGTATATACAGTAATCGTAAGTATTATAAATAAATAATGATAAAATAATGTAAATAATAATAATGAAATCTGATGTACATAACAATAATAATAATAATAATAATAAAATAAATAATAGCAATAATACAATAATGTAAATAATTTTATTAATATAAATAAATGATAATGCAATAATGTAAATAATAATAAGGTACTGTAATGTAAAGTATAAAAATAATAGTAAAATAAATAATAATAATAATACAATAATGTAAATAATAATAATAATAATACAATAATGTAAATAATAATAATAATACAATAATGTAAATAATAATAATAATAATACAATAATGTAAATAATATAAATCATTCCTATAAACTAGCCTATCAGAAGACAGCCACCCTCCTCTTATTTTCTGGGGTCATGCCTCATTGGTCTTTAATTTGAAGTTGAAGGTTCTCAGCGCCTAAAGTTCAGATTGGCGCTCTCGCTTTAAACTTTGCCCTCTCATTATCACACTAATGACGGCGTAATTTTCTACCATTTCATTTTGCATGTTTGCAATTTTTTTGTCCGGTTTCCCAGGTTCACCATCGACCTTGAGAAATGTCGGAGGTCTGGGAGTTCCTCGGAAGTGTTTTGGTTATTTTTTATTATGTTGTGTCGGTGTTTTGACTGACAATGGCGTCCCGCCGAGCCGCGTACATCCTGCCACCATCGGGTCCTCCACACCAGGTTTTGTTTTAGGCATCAGAGAACATCTTTTCACCTTTTCCCGGCCAGGATGTCACACTTCTCAGACCTGTCTGGAAAGCTGGACACGGGTTCTAATGAGAATTATTTGCAGGGCGGCCTGTCAGCCATAAATCCGACATCAAAGCCGGCAATGTACACGGCGCCTTCCCTGCGGGTTCTAAAATACAATCCCTCTGCTGTCCAGAAGGCAGTGCAGGTTCCATCATTGTGAATTATTTATTGCGAGGGAATTAAAATGAATTTCATTTCTCCGAACGCGCCAGAAAACAGAATACAAACTCAATTATTCCTTGAAGGGAATTTTTTTTTTTAATGCACGCGAACTCGGCCTGCCTTAAAGGGAAATTGTGATGGTTTTAGGTCAAATTTATTTCACTTTTTCATTTCATTTTTTAATTGATATTTATAGATAATCTCTATTTATAAAATGTGGAAAATTAATTTGACATTGTTTTTATTTTTAATCAAATCTTTATTTTATTTTCTTTATTTCACTTTTTTAATTTTATTTTGCTGGACTGGGCTACCAAACTATGGCCAAGCAGCTTGGTGAGAAGGTGACAACAGTTGGTACAATCATTCACAAATGGAAGAAACACAAAACAAGTGTCAGTCTCCCTAGGTCTGGTGCACCATGCAAGATCTCACCTCGTGGAGTGTCAATGATCATGAGAACAGTGAGGAATCATCCCAGAACTACACGTGAGGATCTTGTCAATGATCTCCGGTCAGCTGGGACCACAGTCACCAAGAAAACAATTGGTAACACACTACGCTGACAAGGACTGAAATCCTGCAGTGCCCGCAAGGTCCCTCTGCTCAAGAAAGCACATGTCCAGGCCCGTCTGAGGTCTGCCACTGAACATCTGAATGATGAGAGGAGGACTGGTTGGAAGTGTTGTGGTCAGATGAGACCAAAATCCAGCTCTTTGGCATCAACTCAACTCGCCGTGTTTGGAGGAGGAGGAATGCTGCCTATGACCCCAAGAACACCATCCCAACTGTGAAACATGGTGGTGGAAACATTCTGCTTTGGGGGTTTTTTCTGCTAAGGGGACAGGACAACTGCACCGCATCAAAGGGACGATGGACGGGGCAATGTACCATCAAATCTTGGGTGAGAACCTTCTTCCCTCAGCCAGGGCACTGAAAATGGGTGGTGGATGGGTGTTCCAGCATGACAATGACCCAAAACACACGGCCAAGGCAACAAAGGAGTGGCTCAAGAAGAAGTACATTAAGGTCCTGGAGTGGCCTAGCCAGTCTCCAGACCTTAATCCGATTGAAAATCTGTGGAGGGAGCTGAAAGTTCGAGTTGCCAAACGTCAGCCACCAAACCTTAATGACTTGGAGAGGATCTGTCAAGAGGAGTGGGCCAAAATCCCTCCTGAGATGTGTGCGAACCTGGGGGCCAACTCCAGGAAACGTCTGACCTCTGTGATTGCCAACAAGGGATTTGCCACCAAGAACTAAGTCGTGTTTTGTGAAGGGGATCAAGTACTTATTTCCCTCATGAACATGCAAATCAGTCATCATTTGTTAGACATGCATTTCTGCTGAATTTGTTGTTGCTATTCTGTCTCAGTGTTACACCGAACATTCAATTTGTAGACCGATCATTTCTGTGTGAGGGGCGAACATTCAACATGAGCCGGGGAGCAAATACGCATTTCCTTCACTGTATATTGAGATGGCTGCAACAAGTGTAGCTTGGACACCAAAAACTACAGGATGGATGCGTACAAAACCAGGAACTCTGCAGGGTGACCTCCTGTTTCTTCTTATCCAAGATGCAGATATTAAACAGAAATATCACTTTGTGTGGACGGCATCTCCCAGTATATACCGTATCTGGGGGTCTGTGATGTCATTATTGTACGGCAGTAGATCTGTGTTGGGGAAGCCGGTGCATTCTCTCACCCTTCCTCACCTCAATAAATTCCTCCCATCTTTGTGGTCTTGTTACCATCAATCACGGTGACACCAAGCTGACCAGAGCTGACACCAAGCTGACCGGAGAGCCGAGTTCTATGCATTCTAAACTCCATTTATTCACAGATAAATTGGATTTTCTGGATCAGCTGCGAAGCCTCAAAGCAACCTTGACACCAATATACACGGCAGGAATGTCGGGACAGATTCAGAATCCAGATGTCCTTTGTGGAACCAACTTCATTCTTTCCTCTAAAATGACTCTTCAATGGTTCACCCAAAGTTAAAGTGTTACTAAACCCAGGACCCTGCATTCACGATATCCGCTCTCCCCGGACCCTGCATTCACTATAGCCGCTCTCTCCCCAGACCCTGCATTCACTATATCCGCTCTCCCCGGACCCTGCATTCACTATATCCGCTCTCCCCGGACCCCGCATTCACTATATCCACTCTCCCCGGACCCCGAATTCACTATATCCGCTCTCCCCGGACCCCGCATTCACTATATCCGGTCTCCCCGGACCCTGCATTCATTATATCCGCTCTCCCCGGACCCCGCATTCACTATATCCGCTCTCCCCGGACCCCAAATTCACTATATCCGGTCTCCCCGGACCCTGCATTCACTATAGCTGCTCTCCCCAGACCCTGCATTCACTATATCCGCTCTCCCCGGACCCTGCATTCACTATATCCGCTCTCCCCGGACCCCGCATTCACTATATCCGCTCTCCCCGGACCCCGCATTCACTATATGCGGTCTCCCCGGACCCTGCATTCACTATATCCGCTCTCCCCGGACCCTGCATTCACTATATCCGCTCTCCCCGGACCCCGCATTCACTATATCCGCTCTCCACGGACCCCGCATTCACTATACCTGCTCTCCCCGGACCCTGCATTCACTATATCCGGTCTCCCCGGACCCTGCATTCACTATATCCGCTCTCCCCCCGGACCCCGCATTCACTATATCCGCTCTCTCCGGACCCCGCATTCACTATATCTGCTCTCCCCGGACCCCACATTCACTATATCCGGTCTCCCCGGACCCCACATTCACTATATCCGCTCTCCCCGGACCCCGCATTCACTATATCTGCTCTCCCCGGACCCCACATTCACTATATCCGGTCTCCCCGGACCCTGCATTCACTATATCCGCTCTCCCCGGACCCCGCATTCACTATATCCGCTCTCTCCGGACCCCGCATTCACTATATCTGCTCTCCCCGGACCCCACATTCACTATATCCGGTCTCCCCGGACCCCACATTCACTATATCCGCTCTCCCCGGACCCCGCATTCACTATATCTGCTCTCCCCGGACCCCACATTCACTATATCCGGTCTCCTCGGACCCCACATTCACTATATCCGCTCTCCCCGGACCCCGCATTCACTATATCCGCTCTCCCCAGACCCCGCATTCACTATATCCGGTCTCCCCGGACCCCGCATTCACTATATCCGCTCTCCCCGGACCCCGCATTCACTATATCCGCTCTCTCCGGACCCCGCATTCACTATATCTGCTCTCCCCGGACCCCACATTCACTATATCTGGTCTCCCCGGACCCCACATTCACTATATCCGCTCTCTCCCCGGACCCCGCATTCACTATATCTGCTCTCCCCGGACCCCACATTCACTATATCCGGTCTCCTCGGACCCCACATTCACTATATCCGCTCTCCCCGGACCCCGCATTCACTATATCCGCTCTCCCCAGACCCTGCATTCACTATATCCGGTCTCCCCGGACCCCGCATTCACTATATCCGCTCTCCCCGGACCCCGCATTCACTATATCCGCTCTCCCTGGACCCTGCATTCACTATATCCGCTCTCCCCGGACCCCACATTCACTATATCCTCTCTCCCCGGACCCCACATTCGCTACATCCGGTCTCCCCGGACCCCGCATTCACTATATCCGCTCTCCCCGGACCCTGCATTCACTATATCTGCTCTCCCCGGACCCTGCATTCACTATATCCGCTCTCCCCGGACCCTGCATTCACTATATCTGGTCTCCCCGGACCCTGCATTCTCTATATCTGGTCTCCCACAGTACACACAACATGGAAATGCAATTATTTTAGTAAATATAAACCACTAAATCCCTTTTCTCATCAGCAGTATATAGCCGTATTGTGACTTCTATCAGTGTCCAGCAGAGCACTGGTTAAAGCTTGTAGGAGGAGTTTCCATTCTGCTCTAGGAGGATGCAGAACCCCTGACCTCTGTCTGGACAGTGCTGATTGGTCCTGTGCTGATCACATTGCACTCTCTAGCCATACACACTAAACTGAGCATGTGCAGAGTGACGCCTAGAGCTCTATACTATCAGTAGATGGAGACAGTAGAAGAAGGGGAGGATCAGAGAAGACAGGATCAAACAGCCTTTTTACACACTGCAGAGGATTAACCCCTTAGGTTCCACAGGGAGTATAACAAGCATGCTTTACTGCATCTACAGACTGATTGTACTGTTGTGGATTTAGTAACACTTTAAGAGCTGGTTCATACCATCGAAACGCAGTCCAGATGCGTTTACGCATGTGTGTTTTTGGCACGGTTTGGTGCGTTTTTGATGCTTTCCGGTTAATTTTCCCCTCTTTTTCTTTAATCTAAATAGTGACATGTGTGTTCCAGTGCATTTTTGGTGCATTTTTGATGCGTTCTACCACGTTCCAGTACAGTTCTATGCAGGAAATATGCCGTCTATTCTGCTTTTTTTTTCTACATCCGGAACGCACTGGAACTGCAAGCTCTGATGTGAACTATGACACTGACAACCATATAGCCTACTTTCTGTGCGTTTTGGATGAAGAAAAAAAAGCAACTGAAATGCATGGAGTGTGAACTTGCCCGGTTCAGTTCACACCCTAGAAATGCAGTCCAGATGCGTTTCTGATGTGTTTCCCCATGTGCGTTTTTGATGCGTTCTGGTTAATTTTTTTTCCTCCTCTCTTTTTCTTTAATGCAAATAGGAACATGTGCATTCCAGTGCATTATGGTGGGTTTTTTATGCGTTTTACCGCGTTCCAGTACAGTTCTGTGCAGGAAAATGCAGCCTATTCTACTTTTTTTTCTGCATCCGGAACACACTGGAACTGCAAGCGCTGATGTGAACTAAGACATTGACAACCATATCACCTACTTTCTGTGCGTTCTGGATGCAGAAAAACGCTCACTGAAACGCAGGTAGTGTGAAACGGCCCTAAAGCAGATATAAAGTACACAATTTATGCAGCTCCAGGGGCGGACTGACAACTCATGGGGCCCCCGGCCAATAGGGGATCATGGGCCCCTGTGTCCTTGCCCAAACTCAAAAAAGCCTATGAAAAATGTACCGGGGCATCTCATGGGGCCCCCTACTCACCCCCCGGGCAATAGGGGATCATGGGGCCCGTGTCCTTGCCCAAACTCAAAAAAACCTATGAAAAATGTACCAGGGGCATCTCATGGGGCCCCCTACTGACCCCCCGGGCAATAGGGGATCATGGGGCCCCTGTGTCCTTGCCCAAACTCAAAAAAGCCTATGAAAAAGGTACCAGGGGCATCTCATGGGGCCCCCTACTGACCCCCACGGGCAATAGGGGATCATGGGGCCCCTGTGTCCTTGCCAAAACTAAAAAAAGCCTATGAAAAAGGTACCAGGGACATTTCATGGGGCCCCCTACTGACCCCGGGCCCTCGGGCAGTGCCCAAGTTTCCAAATGGTCAGTCCGCCCCTGTGCAGCTCTGTATTCATTAAATGCTTTTTTTCCAATGAAAGCAGTGCAAGTACTTGAATTTGACTTGGTATCTGCCTCTTGCAGTCCTGGTACAGCAAAGCTTAGAGGAGGGAAGTAGAAGCAGCACAAGGAGCCAGTGAGTGCAAGAAGCATGCTGATAGGAGAAGAGATCAGAGTGACAGAGACAGGCTGGGGGGAGGGACCAGACCTGTAAGGCTCAATTCACATCTAAGCATTTCAGAAATGAATGCAAAGTCGCATGTTTTCCGTGCAGGTTCACAGAGCCCATGAAAAATGCATGTCAAGCTTGCAGTTGAATTCATTGTTAATGGCCAAATGCGGCCAGCAGATGTACATTTGTGCGCACAGGGGCGGACTGACCATTTGGAAACTCGGGCACTGCCCGAGGGCCCGGGGTCAATAGGGGGCCCCATGAGATGCCCCTGCTACCTTTTTAATAGGCTTTTTTGAGTTTGGGCAAGGACACAGGGGCCCCATGATCCCCTATTGCCCGGGGGCCCCATGAGTTGTCAGTCCGCCCCTGTTTGCGCACATCAAAATGTGCACCAGAATGCGCAGGAAAAAAGACATTTGAATTCCGCACTGCATCCGTGTGAACCCGGCTCAGGCCTCATGCACACTGGACGTCATAAAAACGCCGTTAGCTGTAGAACGCTGCAATAAAAACGTGAATTTTTTTCGTGTTTTTGAGCATTTTTGGCATGAGCTTTTTTCAGCTTTTTTTGTGTTTTTCAGCAATTGTGTTTTTTAGCAAACTTATACTCCCACAAAATCATCAGGCTCAAAAATGCTCATCAACGCTAGAGAGCCGCATTTTTGAGCGTTTTTTAGCTTTTACCAGCGGTTAGCCGGCCATAGACAGGTCGAAAATTTTCGCACCTTTATTAGGTTAATTGGTCGACCGTTTTTCAGGGTTTTGGCACATTTGTTTTATCGGTCAAGTTGTAAATATCGCGGCCGATTTTGACGATCAGCCAATTTTCCCGGCAATGATGGGCAAATCGCCCGATCGTTTTATCGATAAAAAGTTTGCGCATGAGCCGTGACCTGCAAGGTTGCCGTATTGTATATTGTATATTGTTTCTGCAAGTTTCGGCATGCAACTTCTACCTATACGGGGTGACACCGGACCCGCTCCACGAAAAGGTAAGTTGTAAAGCAAGCCGATGATCCCCGCAGGATGGATGGGATCTGCGGATTGGAGAGCATAATGGATCAGACTTCCGATCCATTGTGCTCAATCCGCAGATCCGATCCATCCTGCGGGGATCGTTGGCTTGCTTTACAACTTACCTTTTCGTGGAGCGGGTCCGGTGTCACCCCATGAGGTAGGTGTCATCCGGTGAAGCGCGCACCCCCCGCACCTGCCACGGGACGCCACTGCCTGGGATCTACATGGTGGGAGCCACCAATAGACGGGAGATCAGCAAACACCTGTTTATTGATCTCCTCTTCCTGTTAATGACCGAGAAGCAACGTGTGAAACGTCACTTCTGGGTCCTGGTGTCACTGCCCCCAGACAGGATTGGATGGTGTTAGCTGGAGACGAAGCCCTCTCCTGCAAACCTCAGCCAATCCGTGAAGAAGGGGTATCCAGCCAATGAAGTGTCACTCAATCCGTGCGCAACATCACTTCCTTCCAGCTCCCCAGTCAGTCTCCATATGGAGCTAGCGTTGGCAAGAAGGTAAGAAAGCATCCCTGCACAGGCTAAACATTTTGAAGTTTTCCTTTTGGGAGGGTTCAAGTAGCAGGTCTTGCCTAAATGCGAAAAAATTGTCTAGCTCCTCCTCATCCTCACCCCCATCTTCCATGGCTCTCTCCCCCCAGCCTCCCATGGCTCTCTCTCCCCCCAGCCTCCAGCAGTTCCAGCCGTCCACTGGACCCCATCCCCCCCAGTCCAGCTGTACCAGATTGCCGATCCCCCGCTATCAGCCAATGAAAAGCCACTTCACAGGTCCGGGG